ATATATATATATATATATATATATATATATATATATATATATATATATATATATATATATATATATATATATATATATATATATATATATATATATACAGTATATATATATATATATATATATATATATATATATATATATATATATATATATATATATATATATATATATATATATATATATATATTACAGGGAATTTGTGTAGCCAGTGACTTCATGAAATCCCTAATACTTTTAGGAAGTTTATGTAATTTTACTGTTTCACTCGGGGGTTTCACGTAATCTCTAAAATTCCTAGGGATTTCAGGAAATCCCAAAAATTTCGTCACTGGTTTTACGCTAACTTACTGGTTGATGTCAGTCCACTGTTAGCCTGCCTTCTAGCAACATGTCTTCAACCAGTGTGGAAGAAAAATTCAATCAGGAGCTGTTCAAACGATACAGAGACAATCAGAAATATCTTATTCCCAAGGCACACTACTACGTGGTATGCGCTGGACAAGTGTCACAGGCAGAGAGAACGGTGAAACGAAGTCATGTTAATCTGAAAGCTGGTGAACCACGGGACAATGTTGCCGTCTCCATTCCTGCTGGCTGTACATCTTGGTAGGGGAGACCCACGTAATATGCTTGGTGTTATCATAGGCAGAGATCTGGATACTGACTTATACAGGATTGCTGTGAAGGTCGGAATTTTGAGTGGACAGTACTTTAGAAACTAATTTGACTTATGCCTCCAGCGTCTACTGACGGAGCAGGATGTGAACGGTGAAAAGATTGTCATTACGCTCTGCTGTTATTGCTCAGTCAGCTTATGTTGGACAAGGGTTAAAAAATGCAACTGTAGTGGTCCAAAAAAGTGTCAGACAAACTGTTGTAAATGTTTTAAAGCCAAACTAAAATGTAACTCACGTTGATGATGATGTAATACACGTGTATGTTTTATGGTATTTTAATGTACCTTTCTTTACATGTTATGGCATTTCAGTGTAATTTTTAATATATGAGTAGAATGTGATGCAGTTCTATGTTCTTTTTCACTGTCCAGAATGCATGATATAATGCACAAGTGCGACGCATGACACTATACTCGTAATGTACCTGTGCTGAAGTTTTATATTTTAGGGATTACGTGAAACCCCCGAGTGAAACAATAATTACATGACCTTACTAAAAGTTTTAGGGATTTCATGAAATCACTGGTTGCACAAATTCCCTGTAACATATTATGTGTCGTAAATTCTTCAGCAGACGGAAGGCTGATCACCACGACGAGCAGCACATCTTGTCTTCTACTCCTCAGTTAAACCCCTTTTTTACTTTCTCATTTATTCTAATATTTATTGTTATCCTGCCATTTTGGTCTCTGACGTCCCATGTCACTGGTAGTTATTCTGACAGTCTATTTAGTGGTTCATACATAAGTGTGTGTGTGTGTGTGTGTGTGTGTGTGTGTGTGTGTGTGTCCACGAATGATAATCTTTAATTTGGTTTAATTTGCTTTAACGTTATTAGTTATCAAGTACCACCATTACTTATTGAGGAAAAATAAATAAAATACTTGCATTAGGCAGTGAACTGGGCGAGGAAAAGTTAGATGATTCTCTGATGATGGACTGTAAGAGTTGGCCTTAACTTTGACGGTACGATACTGACACACGGAGAGATTGAGAATGAGTCTAGGAGGAACTTTGGGACCGTCCATGAATTATTACACACACAATGACAGGTGGGAGCTTGAGGCCACTCCACAGTTGGAAGCTTTGGATAAAATTACGCTGGGTCTCGTTGGGTTTTCTATATAGTATACGGACCAAATTACTGTTTTTAATTATTGGGATTGTCTTTGGAAGGACAACTTGTTAATTATTTCTTACTTATCAATCACGTTACTTGTTCTCTTGACTCCTTACCCAACAAAAACAAAATCATTGCCGGTTAGTAATGGTCAGGAGAGGCGATATATATACTTTAGCTACCTAAACCTAACTTAAACCTCTCCCTTCCCCACCTCACAAAAAGAGAAATAAATTAACCGGCCTTTGTGAATATACTTTCCCTCAATTACTCCTTCAAAATTTATATTCGCCTTCAGCTCACAGTCGAGTGGGGTAAAACCTTCATGTCAGGAGGGGGAAAATTTTACTCCATTTAGAAAACAATACAATATGCTGGATTCAGAGATACATGTGTGTAGTGAGGGAGGAATAGTGTGGTGAAGGAGGGTGTAGGTGATTGTGAGGGAGACCGTTGGTATGGTGAAGTATGGTGCAGTAAATTAAGAAAGTTATGTAATGCTGAGAGATATAGCATTAGTGTTTCTCATGTTTCAGCTACTTCAGTTCTTCTTGCGCTTCGGGTCATCGGCAGATTTATCATATGATGCAGTTATAAGACAGTACAATATGTCCAATCTTAGTTATTTAACATTTAAACATTATGTTATCTTATAGGACAAACATTACATCTTAATATTTCTGATTATTTGACCGAATATTTAACAACTTCATTCCAGTAAAATTTCAACTCAGAAACTATGATTCACTCTGAGAATTTTTAAGAAGTTCTACCGCTCCTCATTTAAATTCTGTGTGAATATTTATTTTATTTATTTTTTGGTAAAGGTTTTCCGTTATCGTGAGTTTTCTTCCTATTTTGAGAAATTCCTGACTAATAACAAGAACAAGTCTCATCCATACACACACACACACAGGGTATCACAAAAGGAAGTAATGAAAAAATATGTTTAATAATATTCTAAATAATTATCATCGAAGAAGATAAAGACGCCCCCTTCCCCTCCACCCACCAGGAAGTTCACAACGGACTAAGTCTTCCGTTTCGCTGCGATAAGAAAGATAAGAAAAAAAAATGATATTCTTAACGGAAGAAAGAGATCCATTATAATTTTTTACTTTTATAATGCACAAAATTTTGCCACCAGTTAGGATCAATTTTTGTTTCTGTCTTCATCATTACGAATCATTTGTCATGTTTTTTATCTAACATTATTCGTAAATTTTTAGAGAATTTCACATTAAGATGAAAATAAAGGAGAGACTATCCAATAAGCAAGAGTACTTTTCATCTGGACATCATTATGCAGCTGACAAAATCTTTACTAATTAAAAAGAAATATTTTTCCACAATCTCATTTACAAAAGGAAAAATAAAGAATTAATCAATAATAAATGTACTTTCTTTACTGTAACAAACTTTCAGCCTCTTGTATAATAACTTTCTAATACCAGTGAAGTTCAAACTCTTAGAACACTGAGTAAGAGACAGAGTTACCGAATACCACAAGATATCAGACCTGCTTTATGATAACTAAACAACCTTCATTCACTATCATGGCAGGTTGTTTACGTATCTGTGAACATAATTATGGGTGTTTCTGCACAAATTCCTTGATCGTGGCTCCTCTTTATGCACTGGGGGACTTTGTGAAGGAAACTTTATATTGGTGGAAGCTAAGACTCACCCTGTATGCCAAGAATTGTATAAAATGCCTTGTAATATCATCAGTAGATCAGTTAATTGTCATTGGAGTTTGTTTATGTAGCTTTGATTGGCTTAAAAAGTCCTTGTAGCGCAGTGGTTCTTGTTTCCAGTTACCATTCAGAGGCCAGGGGTGTGAATCCTTGGCTAGTGAGGTATTGTTAGTATAGTAAAGTTCACGAGCATTTAATTATATATGGAAAGAATTACTATGAAATGTCACTAAAATAACCAAATAAGAATATTGTGTCCATCTTTAATCTCGTCACTTTTTTTGTCAGTCCACCCTCAGTTTCAGTCCACCATATAGAAAAAAAATCCAATAAACCAATTCCTCCATTCTGGGTGTTTTCATGTCCTCCCTGCCACCTGACGAACGTATAGAAACCCAACAAAAACTTTCATGCATGGCAACATTTTTTTCTACATCTGGAAAGAAAACAAAAAACAAAAACCTAAAACCATAATCTGGAATCTCATTTTGATCACTGGATATTTCACAGCTGATTAAAGTTTAATCACGAAACAGGGGTTACAATCGGTCACCAACATTAAGCCGATTATATTTCGATTGGGCATTGGGTTTGAATGCGTCAATATTTCATTCTAGGCGGCAGAACACAAAAGTATTTTAATCATCAATTCATCAGACTCATATGTGGGTGGCAAAACTTTAATGAAATATCGTAAAAAAAAAACCCTACAGGACCATTACTCTTTATTATTAACGTCAGTATAAACATTATCCCTGGCTTTGATTAATGCAATATGTGCCACATGTGTGCAAAATAACAATAACTTCTATGAAATCGTTTTGTTAGAAAAAAAAATAGCGCCCTTGAGACACAGAATTTAAAATTACTTTAATGTGCTACTACTGTACACATGTTAATACTGGAGGAAAATATATGTAGTTGCCACCACAGTAGGAATCATTATTATACTGACACAACTATAGGAACCACTATTACAGCTACTGGAGGGACCAATATCTAGTGTACGGTAAGTTGATCCCCTACGCCAGATGTCACGTTTCAGACAGCGCAGACACTCCACACTGAATATTTAGTCGTTTTCTATACACCCAACCGTAGGATTTGGTACCCCTTCGCCTTATCTACTCGGTCGCCGCGCCTATAACTCAACTACGAGTAACAGAAGGCTAGGTAAGTAATTCTGTTATTAAAGTATAATATTTTATATATGTTATACAACGTACTTCGAGTGTTAAGCAGTGAGGTATTTATAACTGTTTTTTAGAAGAACTTGCCCCTACATGGGGTTGGTTTCATCGGCTCTGGCAGATGTCAGAGCGGGTTTATACGAAATGACACTCTCGGGCAAACAACGGGGTAATCATATAACCTAGCGAGACTGTCAATGTTGTAAATTTTAATAAAATATAAAGTTGGTCTAAATATTTCATTAAGCTATTCAATCATTTCTACTGAACTAATAGTCAGAACTTAGACGACTAATGGAGAAGCAAATAATTTATCCCTGATCCACTTTGTTTATTAATTTACATACTATTAATACAATCACAACTTGTCTGTGCTTAAATCTCAATCACAGAGTTTACGATATTTGATGGAGGGCGAGGCCGAACTACAAGATGTGGCTGCGGGGCCCTTTTGGTACATAGGGGCCCCTACGATATTGCCCAGGGGTCCGTAGTTACACACGTACATTCTGCTCACACCACCCATGAAAGGGGTATAGTACACTGCCCCACATCCCACTTCTCGTGTCTCTCCCCATATCATCTGTCGAGGGAAGGAAGGAGGGCGGAAATTTAGCATAACAGATCATTATTTGGCTATTATTAGGTTAGGTTAGGTTAGGTTAGGTTAGGTTAGGTTAGGTTAGGTTAGACATAAATAATTGCGAATCACCTGATGATTAGCCCCCAAATCCTTAATGTACGATGCAGTAAATTAGTGTATGGATTATTCACACAATCATACAGTCGAATGCACTGGCTGCTGGCTTCATAATATTACCTACAGTAAATACTAAAGAATACATGTCTATTGAACTTTTATAAAGCTATACGAACACCAAGACACATTTATTTTTCTTTGTATTATTTATATACTGAAGAAAACTTATACAAGGAGCTTCCATACAGGTACACCACTGCTGAAGGGTTGGGGCTCACCTGTGTGTAGTGTGCAGTGTCTGGTTGGTCACCCTGGAACCTGGACACAGAGGTACTGGCTGCCTTAACCACCTCCTCGTACCACTTCTCGATGGCAACGGCCCAGTTCTTATGAGGGAAGAGGAAAGAGGTGACTAAAGATAAACACAGATAATAAACGCGGTGATAATAAAGGAAATTATATGTTTAAATAAATAAAATTCCTTGAGTGTGTCTGGAGCAAAAATATATTCTAAAAAAAATACAAACTAAGTTGAATCAAACTACCCAGAAGGCAAGTAAAGTAATATTAATAAAAGACAATTATAAAAAAAGTATTAAGTAGAGGCAAAAACATATAAAAAATAATTAAACTTTTATATAATTGTGACAAAAATTAAAGGACTTGTGGCATAACGTAATATTATTTAGTACCTAGTAGAAGTTACAGCATGTTATATTTAAGTAACTATTATGTAGCGTAAAGTAAAATACATATGTTATGAAAGTTATGTAGTATTATTGTAAGTAAGATTTTATTTTAGAGGTGAAAGTTAAGTAGCGATTAGTGATACAGCAGTAAAATAGTTGTGTAGCGTTAAATTGCCTTGTTAGAAAGTTCTGAAGCATTACGATCAGCTAAGTACTTGTAGCTGTAAGTAAACGTTATGTCGTGTTCAGTAAAAGTACCGGTAAATAAAACTTAGGTAGACTTAACATTAATCCAAAATATGTGAAGCAATATGTAACCTTATGTAGCGACACACACACACACACACACACACACACACACACACACACACATCATTCAGAAAAGAAAAAAAATTTATCTGTTGCAGGACCTCCCATGCATTTATATATGAGAATAATGCTAATTAGTCCTCAGAAAGAAAGTGTTAGAGAGAGAGAGAGAGAGAGAGAGAGAGAGAGAAGGTTTCACTCTCACGAGGTATGGGGTGAGATAATAAAGGTTAGTAATGCTTCAACAATAAGCTGAAAACAAACGGAACAACGACCAGGGAGTGTAGGGATGATGGTCTGAATATCAATAGAGTAAATTAAAATATCTGTCGAATGATGAATGGAATATTGAACGACGGACAAGAAGGGGAGGAACGAGTGTGGCTGTTGCATCATTGAGAGGGTTGTGTAGCCTGGGAGGGGAATTATTTTAATCGAGGAGGCGTGAGGAGGAGCTGGATGCATGCCTGATAATAAAAGCAAGGATACCAGTGAGGAAAGACGTGGTTTTTGTGAAGAGTATGTAAAGTGATCAAGTGTCTAGGTGGATATAACCTACTTCAGGACACACCAGAATATACAGTATGTCGGGGAGAATTTTTGAGGTTGGAGTTGGATGAATTCTCTCCTTCCTCCCCACTTCCCCTAACATTGTCATGCCATGCACTTCACACTCTCCCTGCATAATCTCTCAGTTACTCATATTTATGATCTGGGAAAGTGGCAGAGAAGCTAAAAACTTGGAGAACCAACATCTGCTTTTATAGAAACTCACCAATCATATAAAGTTGAGCTAAATAAGTTCTCTGTCACTTTATCGGGAACCAGAAGTCACGAATCTTTAACTTATTGTAAGGGGTCTATAGTAATGAAAGTCATACAGCGACATACACACACACTATACACCCATACAAAGACATACAAATTCACTAAACTTTGAAAGAAAAAAAAAACCTGCCGGCTGGAGTCACTATCGCATGGTACAGGGTGTAAAGTACTCTGATGTCGAGGTTAATTATAGCATCATAATGTTTACGCTACAGTACTTACGGAGACAGAGTTCTTATCCCAGAGGTAATAGAGATTCTGGCCTACATCATAGTCCCGGGAGCAGATCTTGCGCTTGTTGACCCCGTCGTGCTCATACAAACACTGGCTGGCCCAGGCCTGTGCAAGAACCGGACAGAAAGAGACATAGACAAATATACAGAAACAGAGATAATATATGTGAATTTCATAACAAAGAAAAGGTTATTATTTTACTGGTCAAATCGCCAGTTGCCTTTTAAAGCTTAATCAGCAAATATCCTGCGAAAATATTATCAAATGACCCTTAACATAATCATTGTAAGTTTGACACCATTATGGGCTATGATACACTACCTGAGCCACAGTTGCTAGTTCGTCATTCCAGAGGAGGACCTTCATGTTGGCTGCAGGAGGCTGAGGGCCCGGCTGTCCCCTCGTTTCTTCGCACCAGCCACCTATGAGAGAGACACATCCACACCACTCACTGAGGGGCTGCTGTGAGCACTAAGTTAACCACATAATAACAATATCTCTCTCCCTCTTCCTTTAATGAGACGATGAGAGACTGGAGAAGAATATAGATCGGGAAAATGAAGAGATAAGTCAAAAGAAAGTTAATTTTATTGAAAACTGAAGCAGGTGAAGAGAACAAGAGCGTAATAAGAGAACAAAAGGCGACTCATCTCCAGTGAATAAAAGAATCAATTGTGATACTGTACAGTACAATCATTAATGAGGAGTACGTGTGATCCTCAGCGTTAATCAGTCTTTAACGAGGCTAATTAATTCGGTTATCTACCCTTAAACAACTCACCTGCCAAGTCTTATCAATATCTTTATACTGGTTTTAATGTCTTTAGATTTTGTTTCTTTCTTGCACTTTCAACTATGAATTTATCTTATATATTCAAATGTGACTTAAACTAGTGGACGTAATTCTCCAAATTTTGATCAGTTTGTATTTCGTTTTCTTCTAAATCAAATTTTAGATTTCATTGGAATCCGTAAACCTGTTGAAACATTTAATGCTCTCTGATTGTCAGTCTTGCGTACAAAAACAAAAACCTTCTCTTTTCTACGAAGGTTACGACAATGTTAAATGAAAGACAATGACGTCTCCAAAATAATGCAATATGTCTTCCTCACCAAATATCACTTCACAACCTTCTCCCCCTCCCCGACCCTGTCCTCCCCAGCATATGTAAATGACGGGAGAGAACAGTTTGCTTGAATCAGTGAACACGAGACTGTCACCAGGTATCTTGACGCAAAGTGGCATCTGAATTTAACTTGTCAATGTATAAAATGATAAAGGTGTCGGAGTATGTGAAGAAAATTGAAATAAAACCAAACCATGAGCTTCGTTAATTAAAAGACCATTCTGTAAGAATACCTCAACTTGCTCCATAACAGTTATCATGTGAGGGAACTTCATTGACTTCGTTTCCCTTCTCAGGAACCAACGGAAATAGGAGTTTCTGTTTGAGTTAAAGATGAAAGCGAAATTGGTGCCTTTGATTCACATATAGACAACTCCACTTCAGGAACAGTGTGCCTCAAGTCCTCCTTTCATCGGTATAATGATGGTGAAGAAAACTCCCCAAAAATAAGGTGTAGCATTTCCTTTGTACGAAACAGTTGCTGTGACGATTACTAAAAAAAAGTAATCATAAAAGTTTTTTCCAAGAGGAATAATGTACCACAAGTATGAATGCAATCACCTGGATAGTTACAAAGTGAATATATCGTCCAAATACACAAGGAATGACGAATAATTGGTTATTATATAAGCTGACTTAGACCTTGGGCAATATACAGCAGTAGGTAAACTCATATAAGATAAGCATATCTCTCGTTATAAACAAGAGTAACACATTTTTATCTCTGAGACAACAAGTTTGATTATAATGTGACTTAAGGTCTGAGAAGATAAGCAAGTACGGCTGATAAGAATCTCTGGGAATGACTGATATTTTGTTGCTATAAATTGCCGCGTATAACAGTGAAACATTGAAGAGAGAAGAGATACGTTAACGTGTTAGTAGTAAAAAACTTGAATACTGGATTGATGTGATAGCTTAAAGGAAAAACTATTCCTTCATGATAATTTTAATAATAATAATAATAATAATAATAATAATAATAATAATAATAATAATAATAGATAAAATAGTCCATACTCTATATGCTTTTAACTAGATGAGACAATATGGAGTTAAGATACACGTACACACTATGGAGTATATTACTAAAGTACATATTTTTTTTCCCAGCTAGTATATAATCATGCTTCACGGGCGTAAGCTTCTCCTAGGAAATATAATAATGTAAACAGCCCCCCTTAGCGATCAATAATTTTTTCTGACAGGACATTAATCCAAAAGGTTGGAAACATTAAACGAAAATGAAAGTTTGTAAAAGAAACAAGTTGAAAAACAAATAATACATGGATATAACGCACACACACATAAATTTAAGCTGAAAAATTAGAGGCTGATATAATTCTAGAAAACAAAAAAATAATTATTCGGGGAAAGGAAAGTCATGGCAGGTGTTTACAGAAGCAGGATCCAGTTCTAATTTACCAACGCAAACAATGTCCTGTAGATGAGAAATAAGTAACTTCCATATTACTACATCAGGTTATAAACACCTGATGGATGCTACTGATTTCGTTAATACCATTAAGGCCAGTAAATGACCTCTAGAACTATGAGGCCCAAATGGAGTCGTTAGGTCGGTGAACGATCATAACCATTCAACTTAGTAGCTTAAAAGTTTCATAGTTGGGCAGAGAGGAGAGCAGGTAAAGGCTCGTAACACTTCGAACCCAATAGATAACACGTTATAATCATGTTTCAATCCGCAAATTCCTACCAATCTAGAAATTCCAACGTGGGATGTTGGAGGTAAGCCAGGTCACTCACTCACCTGCCCGGCCAGTTAATGGGATTTCAAGATTCATTATTCCATTTGTGTCCTGATTAAACGCGCGAATAATCTGTGAGACCTAAACCAATTGAATGGAGGTGATCATACTTGTCCGTGTCTTAGTGCACATCATGATACAGCGGGATACACATCGTTCAGTAGACAGGTGGTCGTTTCCTGCACTGCCCACTAGTTGTCTCGTACACACATTAGGAGTTATAGATAGTTGCAGCATAATATTTGTAGGACTAAATAGAGTTTACGACAAAATAAGGACGTATGTAGAATCAAGGAGAAAATTAATCGATTGAATACCGGTGTGTATTTACGATATTACACTTATATTGTGTATGTAACGATACAGTAAGAATAATGATATTAAACCTACACTTGCACAGATCAACTTACAACAAGTGTGCAAAATGACCTATGTTTGAAACGACCAGGCTTCCAGACGTAATAAAGTGAAGTCTCTCTATTAAATGTCAGTTGAAGAAAGCAAAGGTTCTCTCACCCATGCATTGTAACCACGAAGTTATATTTTGTGGCATTAATAACTTTAATAATAATAAATAACATATTCTCAGTCGCCCAAAAGTTAAGCAGCGTTGTCACTGGCTACAGACTGAAAAGCTTTAAAGGATCTGAGTTTAAACAAAACAAACTCCTAGAAAACTTCTTTGTGAATCTGAACTTTGATTCAAAAGAATTCTCCCCCTAGGGAGGAAATTAAATCCTCTAACCGGGAAACTACGATAAGACAAGGCAGCCACACTGATGACTCTAATTTCTTTCAATATTTTAATTGGGACTGGGGTTAGAGCTGTGTGGCAAGACATAACTGTTTGTTGCACAAACCATGTGCAGAGTAAGAGCAGGATCAACAAATATTTCTCCAAGCTTCTGCTGCACTTCTGGCAGTACAAGGTCACCTGGATTCTGCTAAACGACATGGATCTCTTATGCTGTAAATTGTTTCTGATGTTTAAATCTCTGTCTTGTTCTCTTCACTATCTCTCGAACAACTTCCCTCCCGTGCATAATTCTGTATTTTACTCCCTCTGTGCTGACGAATGACTCACTCTCCGTAGCATCTCATTGTTACCTTCTTATAGACTAGTCGTCAGGATCCTCTAACTGTCTACTACATTCTTAAAACATAACTACAAATAATTCACGACTATGGTGTTCGAGAACTGACCTTAGACCTGAAGGTGTTATGTACCCTAAGAATTTCTTCCTTTTCCTCCTGGGACACTCAGCCTGATGACGTTGCACTCCGTATCTGCTTGAGTGTCATGGTATGTTCAGAGTGGAATGATGAATAATCTGGCTGGTTGATCTGTTGTGGTGGGCGCTGTTGTCTTGCTTGATGGTTGACTCAGTTGTCTTAGCGATGGTTGATTCTGTTGTGGTGGGCGCAGTTGTCCTAGCAGTGGTTGACTCAGTTGTCTTAGCAGTGGTTGATTCTGTTGTGGTGGGCGCTGTTGTCTGGTGGTGGCTCAGTTGTCTTATAAGATGGTGATTCTGTTGTTTTGGGGTGTATATGATTCTGTTGTCTTAGGGGTGTATGATTCTGTTGTCTTGGGTGTATGATTCGTTGTCTTAGGTTATGATTGTTGTCTAGGGTTATGTTCGTTGTCTTGGGGTGTAGTCTTGTCTTGGGTGTATGATTCTGTTGTCTTAGGGGTGTATGATTCTGTTGTCTTAGGGGTGTATGATTCAGTTGTGGGTGGGATCTTGTTGTCTTGGTGTATGGTGAGTTGTCTTAGTTGTGATTCAGTTGTCTTAGGGGTGTATGATTCAGTTGTCTTAGGGGTGTATGATTCAGTTGTCTTGGGGTGTGTGATTCATTTGTCTTGGTTGTATGGTTGATTTGTCTTGGGGTGTATGATTCGGTGTCTTAGGGGTGTATGATTCAGTTGTCTTCAGGTTTATGATTCAGTTGTATAGAAGGCTTCCCAGAAGCAGATAATAGGGAAAAGGTTGATTCAGATGTCTTAGGGGTGTATGATTCAGTTGTCTTAGGGGTGTATGATTCCAGTTGTCTTAGTGTTATGATTCAGTTGTCTTAGGGATGTATGATTCTGTTGTCTTAGGGGTGTATGATTCAGTTGTCTTAGGGGTGTCTGATTCAGTTGTCTTGGGGTGTATGATTCAGTTGTCTTAGGGGTGTATGATTCAGGTTGTCTTAGAGGCGTATGATTCAGTTGTCTTTGGGGTGTATGATTCAGTTGTCTTAGGGGTGTATGATTCAGTTGTCTTGGGGTTCAGTTGTCTTAGGGGTGTATGATTCAGTTGTCTTGGGGTGTATGATTCAGTTGTCTTAGGGATATGATTCAATTGTCTTAAGAGTGTATGATTCAGTTGTCTTAGGGCGTATGATTCAGTTGTCTTTGGGGTGTATGATTCAGTTGTCTTAGGGGTGTATGATTCTAGTTGTCTTAGGGTGTATGATTCTGTTGTCTTAGGGGTGTATGATTCTGTTGTCTTAGGGTGTATGATTCTGTTGTCTTGGGTGTATATTCAGATTGTCTTGAATTGTGATTGATTTGTCTTAGGGTGTATGATTCAGTTGTCTTTAGGGTGTATGGATTCAGTTGTCTTAGGGTGCATGATTCAGTTGTTCTGGGGGTGTATGATTCAGTTGTCTTAGGGGTGTATGATTCAGCTGTCTTAGGGGTGTATGATTCAGTTGTCTTAGGGGTGTATGATTCTGTTGTCTTGGGGATGTATGATTCTGTTGTCTTAGAGGTGTATGATTCAGTTGCTTTAGGAGTGTATGATTCAGCTGTCTTAGGGGTGTATGATTCAGTTGTCTTAGGGGTGTATGATTCAGTTGTCTTAGGGGCGTAAGATTCAGTTGTCTTCGGGGTGTATGATTCAGTTGTCTTAGAGGCGTATGATTCAGTTGTCTCAGGGGTGTATGATTCAGTTGTCTTAGGGGTGTATGATTCAGTTGTCTTAGGGGCGTAAGATTCAGTTGTCTTCGGGGTGTATGATTCAGTTGTCTCAGGGGTGTACCAGTATGATTCTGCTATCCAAGGAGTGGTCGATTTTCTTGTCGTGAAGGCTGTCGCTGTAGGTATGGTGGTACCTGACGGTGCTAACTGCGAGGTAGCTGCTGGGGGACAAGTAGTAGTAGTGTGTCTTGGTGGCTCCTGTGTGTAAGGGTGTGGCGGCCGCACGAGTAATTGGTACACCAACTTCGGTATGGAGATCACTGGAGGAAAGGGTCCAGAGAGGTTTGGTGTAGAGGGCCCATGAATGCCTTTTCTTGAGGGCCCATGAATGCCTTTTCTTGAGGGCCCATGAATGCCTTTTCTTAAGGGCCCATGAATGCCTTTTCTTGAGGGCCCATGAATGCCTTTTCTTGAGGGCCCATGAATGCCTTTTCTTGAGGGCCCATGAATGCCTTTTCTTGAGGGCCTATGAATTCCTTTTCTTGAGGGCCCGTGAATGTCTGGTCTAGAGGGCCCATGACTGCCTAGCCAAGGGGGTCTTGAAATATCTGGTTGTGGGGGCTTAGAGGGGACTGGTCCATTGTGTTCAGAGATGACTGGCCATAATGGTCTTGAAATGGTTGGGCTTGAGGGTGTATAGAGTCTTGGTCGAGGGGTCGTAGAGATAGCAGGGGCAGAAGGCCAAGAGGTGTCGTGTCGTGGTGGTTTTGAGTTGACTGGTCCAGACGGTCTTCGCGCAAGAGGTTCTAAGATGACTGTAATTAATGGTCTGGGGAAGGCTAGTTTTGATGACTTTGTGGAATATGATGTACGTATACGGGGTGATGATGACCTTGGATGAGGCGATTCATGAGTACTGTGACTGTATTTCTGCCAGGTACCCTCAACCAGTAATGCTGAAAGATAAATGCAATCAGGGGAAATATATTATGATGCAAATTAGTTACATAAGTGATTGATGTCTGTTATCATTATATATCCGCTTGAAACTAGTGTGTAAAAATTTTCAGACAGTAGTTCTTATACAGTCGTGAAATTTTGGATGAGTTAATATTAGATTACGCTGACATATTACATGAAAGAAGTATTATATTTTGGGGTAATTATGTTATAATAGACATGTGCCAACGCTTTACAGTAATTCAATATTAGACATATTCTGTAGATACATTCCTAGTCTTACTATTCAACATTACCAAATATCAGTATTACTATAAACAACAAGTACTAGGAAGTAATAATACACGGAATGTAAAACAAATCCTAATATTATAAAGATACATTTATTACTTTACTTTATGTCCAAATCGCTTTAGTATTATTAAAATGAAAAAAAAAGGAAACTGCCTCAAGCATTCCTGGACTATTTACAAAATGTCTTCCAAGTCAATTATTATATATATGTATATGCAAATTAATAATATATACTACCGGAAGGACTTTGACAGTGTAGTAGTGTTGAGAAGTGTTGACCAGAGAGCACTGAAAATGTGAGGCCCTTAAAATGTGAAGGGACACTGAAACTTTATGGGGGGCAACAAGTGAATATGTCGAGGGGACTTAAAAGAATGGGGTGAGTGAAACTGTAAGGGGCCCTGAGAATAATGGGGGTCACTAAAACTGGAGGCAAAATGGGTTATGAATACACCGAAGTTAACGATGGAGACGAGAGAAAAAAACAGAGATGGGAGGAGAGGTAGAAGATGTAAAGAACATAATTATTAGGGATATGCTGGCAATACAATAGATCAATATTTGGCAGGTTTGTGTTGACTCAACTTTGGAATAGATCGTGAGAGGAAAAAAAAAACAGTGGAAATGCGAGGAAGAAGCTAACATTGGAGCTGCTAGTAAAGGGGGAACTGGGGCTACAGATAAGGCAGGTGGGGAGGTAAACAAGACGAACTGTGTTGATGAAGCCTTCGTAAATTACTTCTGTTATGATATTATATATGGCGATATTTTCTTGTCTAATAACCCACATTACCGAGTTTATCTACACAATAATTACAGAACAAATTTCAAATGTGATCTTGTTTTTGTTTTTTTTACGGATTTATTCTTATATAGTAAAATAATAAATCAGTTTTAAAATTTCCCTTTATCTTAAGACTACCACCTTATCTATTTTGTTATGTGTTATATTTCTTATCTCTGCCTTCTAAAGCTATCTGAAGGTCAAGTGTAATATCATGGATTAGATTATGGTAATATCAATAAATCACAATATAACAGGATTCAGTTTGATTCCTTGTCATTATACACGGACCAGCATATTTTTACATAACTATAAAAAGTAAATTAAGATCAGTATCGTAATTCTATGAGATCTGTTGTAAGGGGGGGCAGGGGTGGTAAGGGTGGGGGTGAAGGATGGTTGAGCAATTAGGGGGATGACGCGTCACTTACGTCAGGGAGTTTAAGGGTTGGATTAACGCCCTTGATTTATCTGATAATAATCTTTACAACTTTCTGTCTCGATGTTACTGTAGTGTACTGGTGTGAGGAAATCAGTGTGGCTAAATAACGATATAAGGAAGGGGGGGGAGGGGGGAAGTATCCGATTTCAAAATAGAATTAGAGGCTAACCACAAACTAAATATATAACACTGAAATACTTGCATGAAGTAAAAGTCAAAATTTCTTATCTAAATCACTTCTATTTACACACACGTGGTAGAATATATCTTATCTATAGACGGCTCCATGTTTACAAGCCATCTACGGACGGATCCAGGTGACATAAATATACTTCAAGAGCTCCACATGCTGGTTGAGAAGTTAGGATTTTATACCGCGTTATACAGAGCTGCGCACACTCTACCAACACGGTGAAAATAACTGATATATAACACTAATAAGAATCTTTGAATTTCATGTTTGCATATTGAGAGGCAACGGAACTCTAATTCCTTATCGACGCTTTCATGGGACGACCCCTTTACCTTCTCATTTGTGTTGTCTTTTACTGCCGATAGCGATTAAAGATTTAGGGGGACTTACAGCTCACAATAGCACATGGGGTACTTAATTGATTTTTGAGTTATGTATTGATTTTAATAGCATTATATACGGCTATTATGAATTATATGCTTATTATATAAATATTTTGACTTGTAGAGAGAGAGAGAGAGAGAGAGAGAGAGAGAGAGAGAGAGAGAGAGAGAGAGAGAGAGAGAGAGACGCATTTCACCGCAACATAAAAATTAGCTAAAATTAACAACGAATGAACAAACATAATTTTAACCCCAAATAATTGTTTTTTTTTTCAATACACTATCCATCTCAAACTCGTCACACACACACACACACACACACACACACACACACACATTACAACAATTGTCAGCAACACAACTCACCTTGTAATGTCAGCAGCAGCAGCCAGATAAACGGTATCAGCGCAACACTCCCACTGACTGCCATGGTCAACACACGTCTGACCTTACACTGCTCTCACCTTCCTGTATATATAGCCTACCAGTGACCCAGCACTCACTTCCTCACACTTACCTTTAGTCTTACCTTCTTCACCTACATGACTTCATTATATTCTGGGATCTGGTCATTTATCATTATTAACTAATCTTAATATGAGAGTAAAATATATAGCATGAAACTCAATTGATCTTCCTAATATCATAAGGTCACATGTTGATTAACTCTTACAAAGGTTCCTCGGTACACACATAAGGTCACATGTTGATTAACTCTTACAAAGGTTCCTCGGTACACACATAAGGTCACATATTGATTAACTCTTACAAAGGTTCCTCGGTACACACATAAGGTCACATATTGATTAACTCTTACAAAGGTTCCTCGGTACACACATAAGGTCACATATTGATTAACTCTTACAAAGGTTCCTCGGTACACACATAAGGTCACATATTGATTAACTCTTACAAAGGTTCCTCGGTACACACCTTGAATACGTCAATATGATTCTTCGTGAGGTAAGGGATATTTTCTGTACTGAAACGCATTGTATAATACTCCTTACATCAATGAGGAGAATCTACAGGTAATCAGGACTCCAGGAAACATAAAGGGAAGTTAATTACGTATGTATGTATGTATGTATGTATGTATGTATGTATGTTTATCACCGAATAAGCTTCAAAATGCAACTGAAGTTTTAGCTAAATAGGGATAATTTTTTATTCTCAGTGAAATAACCGAGTGTAAATAAAATAGTGTAAGGTAAAATTTGCTCTGTTTCATTAAAGAGGCCGTTTGCCTTAAGTAGTTTAGGTAAGACTAACTATTATTTATATGTATTATGACTAGTTACATGATCTTCTATGGCCATTCAAATGTTTACCTAAAAATACATAAAAGTTATCACCATTTCACAAATATCTCTAAGATAAAAAACACACACACACACACACACACACACACACACACACACACACACACAGAGAGAAGAAAAAAGAAAGAAAGAGAGACAAACAGATGATGTTTTGTTGACCACGTGTTGTTGAGCCAGAGTCCTTCATCCCTGCCTTACAACACTGCCTTAATACCCACAACAACACACACACACACAAGGTCCCTCACAGACACTCCTACCTGCGTGGCCTGTGTGTACCCCTCTTATCTGGGGCCTAACTCACGCCCTTATCATTCCATAAACCTTTCACAAAACTGATAATTATTATTTTTATTCCTACTTCCATAATTCCCTATTCATCCATCCTCACCCTCCCCCATCCATTCAACTTGACTCATCAGTTTCCACCCACTCATATATCCATACCTAGTTACCCGTCCTCGCAACCAAACTGCTGACCCACATCCACAGATCCACACATTCACTGTAGGCCTAAATAGTTTCATCGGCAAAGATCCATCCAAAGTCATTCACTCATATTTTTTCACCCCATTTGCTCAAACTTACCTAATCTCACGCGCCACCACACCCACTCACCTTCTAGATTCACCACCTCTCATTTATCACCCACTCCTCTCTCCTACCCGCTCTTATACATACATCATCCACTAACATCCATTCACTTACCCTAATCACATCCACTAATTCACCCACCACACTATCAATGCCAACACTACCACAATATCACCACGGACACCCTCGGACCAACACTAACACCACCAACACTGCCAGCATCAACAGCTCGCCTCATAACGCCAACATCCTCACTGACCCAGCCACAACAAGCATACACACTACCCAGTCATAAACGATACACTACCACAGACTGGCCGATACGTAACCAAGGGGTGAATGACCGGACGTGTAAACAATGACACGTTCTTAGTCACTACCGATATCCGCCCTTGTGGTCTGTCTCTTCACCCCACTTCCTTCATCTGCTTGATTGACTTGGCGATTACACAAAGTAATGATAAAAAAAACACAACTGCTTCTAAACCTTGAAAATACACAAATATATCTTACTACACTAATGTCCCATATTACGACACGTTAATGCTTGGGCACTCGATGGCCAAAACCTGGACTTTACCACGATTGAAGGCTTGATCATAAAAGCTTGATCATAAAAGCTTGATCATAAAAGCTTGATCATAAAATGTAATTTATTCACACTTTCAAACACAACAGGGAAGCAAGACTCATTTCCGAGAAGAAAGTAAACCTCCTCAGCTGACTGACACAGGAACTGTTGTTGTAGAAGACAATGTCATCTAAGAATATGATACCACATCCAAATAATAAAAGAAAAAATATGCATTACACAAAAGAAAGTAACTCATAAACTGGTGAGTGTCTTAGCCAATGGTTTAGCAAAGATTTTATGATACCAGCGTCAAGAGCACTGTAGTAAGCAGTTTTCTAATCAGGATTGTCTTGAACGAGATAGTGTCGTCGACCTGATAAAGAGCTATAGCTCTCACTGACTTCATTGTTAATTTATTTTGGAATATTTAACGGCTTCAAACTACGTAAATACTTTAATAAACTTGTACCATGCATGAACCACGTAGCTTATCATCAGATTGAAGTCAGGTCAATTGGATATCTCCCATGTAATCAAGTACAGTACATTGTGTTCCGGGCCTTCGATTTTCAACACCTAAATAATTATATGTCCAAAAATCCTATAAATCTTCAACAACATTAACTAATCCAGCGCTCGTTATGTCCATCTATCTCGTCAAGTGATTTTCTTGATTAGAGAAGACAAAACTCTTAATACTCGCTTAAAAGAAGGTTCCTGATATGAGAGACGTAACAAGCAAGGAATCTAGAGTAGAGTAAGTACAGAGTGTAATGTGATAAGAAAGAGGAAAGGGAATAACCGACCAGATAGTAAACAATAGGGCACTAGAATATGTGTACTGTACCTTAGTTATAAATTCATTAACACATTACGCTCCTTTTTAATTCAAAATTAATGAAGGAATATTGTACAAGAGAACAAGGGACACATTGTTTCAGGTTTACGTCTGATAACTAACTAACCCTTATCGTTGATGGTCTTCCCGGGAAACCCGTGAAGAGAAGCAGAATCGAACACTACAAAATCTTATGGAGTCTATTTTTTTTCCCTAAGACTAGAACAATAACTGATAACTGCTATTGTTCGGGTAATCATTGATCTTCACATCACATTCTTTGCTATGCGACCCCCAAGTAAGAACTGTTTTAGCGCACAAATTTTCACGAAATTAAAATTGTGATGTGATGAATTAAATCCAGGTTGTTTGTGCCTTACTGTACTATATTCAGATCTATATTCAGTGCAGCTATAGCGACCAACTGAGAGACTTAACAGTATAGGTATGGAAGCTGAGGGACGGTCCGCCATACTCGTTTTGTTGACCTATTATTGTTGAATATATTGCACATGAAACGTTTATTATAACGGTATAGATGATCCACGGCAGGAAAATCAACCCTCTAGTTTTGAAGATGTCTAAGTCATTTTTGCAGCATATCATCATCACTAATCATATGTTTTTTTTTTGTTTAATCAAGTTTATGATGATAATGTATCTATCTTATCAGGTCGACTGTGGGGTAAGATGACGTGTTGTAACGGATAAGACAGTCAAGTTTTAGCGTGTGTCACGGTCGGTTGTGTGTGTGTGTGTGTTTGTGTCTGTTAATCCCAGCTCAAGGAACATCAGGTGGATGCTGGGACACCCGGGGTTTGATAGTCTTTGACCTGAAACTAAAAAAACAAAAAACAATACAGGGTAATAATAATATATTGGCTGCACCCCTCCCCCTTCCCGCGTCTTAATGTTCTTATACTTGGATGACATATACTGTAGTTAAAAGGATCTACAGTGTACTATTTATTTCTGTTGCTTGTTGCCAGCCTGTAAACGAGTCTATTTGAAAGAAACAATAAAAATTTTTGAAATCACCCATTGTGTAGTTTTCGACCAGGTGATGAAGGACGAAAGTTTGGGTTTTTTAGTTGTAATATTTTGAAATAAGAAATCAATTTATTTTAGTATAGGTACTACAGTTTAACATAAGATCACTCACTATATACTGTACGTGCTTGATATACAGTCGACCCTTATATTGATGTGTGTTACTCAACGTTCCTTTATGGGTATTCCGTATAGCTATTGGCATTAGTTTGCAGAGTTAGGCTTTTGCTGTCAATTTTATGACTGTCCGAGATAACTGTTTTGGTAATTATCTTGACATAATTGGCGAAGGAAATTAATTAACTAGTACATAATGAAATACATCAAGGTGTGTATAGGTTTTATATATAGCGAAGATTATACCGATGAATTTTGGCCATTCATTAACATAAAGCAAGTGCGGTACTCCATGGAATAATGCGGTCATCTGTGGTCTAGGTGTGGTGTACTGCGGTCATCTGTGGTCTGGGTGTGGTGTACTGCTGTCATCTGTGGTCTGGGTGTGGTGTACTGCTGTCATCTGTGGTCTAGGTGTGGTGTACTGCTGTCATCTGTGGTCTGGGTGTGGTGTACTGCTGTCATCTGTGGTCTGGGTGTGGTGTACTGCGGTCATCTGTGGTCTGGGTGTGGTGTACTGCGGTCATCTGTGGTCTAGGTGTGGTGTACTGCGGTCATCTGTGGTCTAGGTGTGGTGTACTGCGGTCATCTGTGGTCTGGGTGTGGTGTACTGCGGTCATCTGTGGTCTGGGTGTGGTGGTGGAGAACTAAGCCTCTTCTTGATTCGGTGCAGAAAGCCATCAACAGAATGAACACCCGAAAGGCTATATCATCGTTTCACTATTTTACAGATACTTGTTCAGTGTTGTGACGAGTTATATTAAATAGAGCCATCACCATTCATCAGCCTTGGAAGACATGTACGTGGTCACTCGTCTTTGGTTGAATTTCTAATCTACAGAATCTTTACTTTCCCAAATTCACTGATACTTCCTACCACAGAGTAATTTTCCCAAGTGATATAACCTACATCAGTTTAAAACATATTATTCTAACCGCCTGCTGTATAAAATCATCTACCTTAGCCAAATCATATATTAAAACTGGTGTCCCTGTAGTAAATCGGACTTGAGCAAGGAGAGACGTCCAAGGGTAGAGATATGACAACGATGCTTGTTCCTCTGTATATTTCATTGAGTAAAGATAAGAGATACAACCCTAACACCACCACCACCACCACCAACAACAACAATAACCAGTTTGCGTAAGAGTGGTACAGAAGTATTACTAGGATGTTAATGACTATCAACAGACTAATTTCTTTTATACATATACAAATTATATTCCTGTTTCCGAAATAACATTAAAGTTTGTAGTTGTTCCTCGCGGAGATAATAATAAAGTGATGTGATTATATGCACATGTAATTTCATAAGAATTTTCACAACGCGGGTGAAAATTGTGTGGGAGTAGTGAATCATGGAAGCACATTTCTAAGGTGTTAAGAGTAAGATAACATTCAACACTATATTTTATCTACAGACCTTGAGCATTAAGCTCATACGATTTACAGTAGGAGCTTACCTATTGAGATCCTCAGCTTAGCGAACACACCAGCGCGAGTGTACCCAGCTTGGCCGCTAACATTACAAGGTCGTAGTTCATCCAACCAGGGATGAAAATAACTAACAAATAATATAGGATTAAAATTACACTCGGTCTAACACCAATGACAACTATATATAATACTCCGACAAGAATTTAACCAATATTATAACCACCGTTTTGGATTAAGTAAGCAAATAGGAAGTATACGTGATAATTTCATGCAATCGTCAATTAGCTTTAAACAGCAACTGACATGTTTGCCGAATAGGGATATCTTGTTAATTTTATTCCTTTAACTTAATGCAAATTAATTAGTATATATATATATATATATATATATATATATATATATATATATATATATATATATATATATATATATATATATATATATATATATATAAATATGCTGATAACCACAAGGAAAAATAATAGGTACACAGAATAGGTAACACCTTTACGTTCAGTATTTATAGAAAACTGACTAATGTGTGTTCATACATTCATTATTATTCTGCCCACCATAATAGAGTCAAACAGTCAGTATTTTCAACAATGTCTTTACGTGCTTTGAGAATTTGCAGCCCGGAAGTCATTGATGAGGAATATAAATATATCTATAATATTGGCTCAAACCTTAAATACCCTAGATCTTTCATAGACAAATGCCTGAACATCACTAAGAAATCTTTTTATAGAACTGATCCCAAGCCCACCCATGACCATAAGAATCTCTTAGTATTACCATTTCACAATTTTTTCTCTCAAATTCCTTTACAACTAACAACCTGGAACGTCAATGTGGCATTTAAAAACTCATGCACTGTTAAACAAATGTTAATCAAGAACTCCCCCAACAACACAATTGGTTGCATTTATAAAGTTCCTTGCAAGGAATGTAATATGTTTTACTTAGGCCAGGCAGGTAAAGATCTTGTAACTAGACTTAAACAACATAAATATAGTGTTAGGACAGGCCAGGAATCCAAAGCTCTGTTTGTTCATTTGAGGGATAACAAGCATTGCATTGACTGGGATAATGCCTCCTCAATATTACCTTGTAATTCACTTGCCAGTAGGAACATTATAGAATCTAGTCTCATTAAACATACCGAAGCAGTCAACATGAATTTGAATAATGGCATGTACAAACTGTACAATTTTGTAATTAAGAAGATTTGTAACCAGGTGAGAAGGTTGGGTCACCTTACCCTCTGACCTGACTACCGACCGTTGCGGTGCTTTTTAAAGATTAGTAGGGTCATTACCTAATACCTGACCATTGTGGACCTGATCTCACCCTCCTCTGTATATATATACCTTGTTTTGTACTTCTCCTTAGTCTGTACTCACCCCTGAAGATGTGAATTACACGAAAGCGCTTGGGAACTTCGTGTTTTCTTTTTCCTTGTGGTTATCAGCATATACCTGGATCACGCGCACCTACAGTGATTTACTTGCATATATATATATATATATATATATATATATATATATATATATATATATATATATATATATATATATATATATAAATACTTTAATCTACAAAGTCGTTTATCACCATGGAATACAAACTATACCTTGACAGACACTCAAGAGACTCAGGGAATTAGCAGCAGAAGACTTTAAAACAGTCATACAGTATTTTCTTACTTCCGCCAGACAGTGAGGACGCTACCAGGAAACTAATACACAGAGCATCTCACCTGAGCACACTATAGGGGCGCTTCACCTGGGCACCCTACCCGATTCCCTCACCTGGACTTCCTATCTCGAAACCCCACGTGGACACGTTACCTGGGCACCCCTCATGAGTAAGGCTTCACTTGGGCATCTAACCATGGAGGTCAAGAAGGAGGGTGAGAAGCCCCAAGAGAGGAGAAAACGGCTCCTCAGACAGGTAAATGATGCAGTGAAATTGTTCTACAAATATATACAAACGTAGTGAGATAAGATGAGGATTAGAAATACTTGGGATAACAGGAGTTGTATTCCTTTGAGCTGCATGTGCTTCGATGCTCTCCTCCATGTACACCATATACCTCTTATAATTGTCCTGCCAAATCTATAATTTTTTTATTGAACCAACGATCATAAGTGAAGAGCCACGAGGTGTACAAAAATAGAGAGCCCATGTTATCTATGTTACCTGTCACAGTTTCTTATGCACTTGAGGAACACCCGAGGTCGTGTGGTCAGTTTGAAGAGCACTTGAGATATAAAGGAATACAAATATAAACATATTATTGTCGACCTTTCTACAATTGATAACAAACTTGACTCACTATAATAACCCAAAAAAATTGTATGTGGAAATGAAACATAAAAGAATTACTGGCATGATTATCTATATTGTTTACATCGACAAACCCTTAAGAGATGATGTTTAAAACTCTTTGTTATGTTCCATCAGCTGACGAAGGTGTTGCAGGCAGCTCTGGGATCATGTATGATGGGCACTTTATTCACCTTCCCCTCAGTCGTGTCCTCAGACTTCGCCAACTACAACACTACCATATACGGCACCACGATATCCATGGAGGGTTACGTGGACATGATTGGTAAGTGAGATTATATTCACTTTCCATTATAGATAAACACCACTTACTGTACTCCTAACACACAACAGCCAGTCATGACTCATTAGGTAGGTACTACAGGCTCTTGTTATATGGTATGAGGCTCTTTATTGCTTTTAAAGTATGATACAGAAAAAAAAAGCCGTAAAGATATAATATTTAAGAACCTGATGCTCCATAGTGTGTCTTAGGCTCTTATATATAACATTTAGTATCATTTAGATGTAACTTCTATCTAACCTTCTCCTATTAGTAATGGATTCTAGCAGACATCTTGCCAATTAATGCCTTCTTGGTAATTTATTCCTAATTAACTAACTTATTCCTGCTAAGCAACTTGTTTATACCATTGGATCATCTCACCAAACAACCTGTCATTATGGATAAATTGTGAGTGATCTTACCAACGTTTTCCTATTTAGTAATTTATTTTCTATGCAGTAAATTAAATGAGTTTGTGGTGTCTTGAATACAGGTTTAGTAGTGATGGCTTCTATGCATTTTTTTCTTTATTATAATACTATGCACAGTGTGGTATACCAGGCGTGGGGTGCGGAAACAGTATCAGTAGGATTATTTCTATATAAATAAACACATTACCAGTAACACAATAATTATACACACTGAATTCTCGACTCGAAATAAATTTGAATGACGTTATTGCCTCGTAACGTCAAAAACACTGTAAATTGTTGAACTTTTGGAGAAAAAATATTAATTAATCTCGTCTAATGAGGTACACCTCCATAACTTGGCTTCTCTGCTTACTAAATCTCTCTTTATGTTTTATCCAAGTAAATATTAACCAACAAAGCTGAGCCTCTCGGGGACTATACTTTAATTATAATTGGTGAATAGTAAGATCCTCATGAAGAGTCACTTTCAAATATTCAAGAAGGATAAACTTTTAGGATTTGATGTCTTAAAAACCCTCACAAATCTCTCTAAACTGTATTGGGACGTGTAGGTCGTGCGAGTTGGTTATGTCATGGTTCAGAAAATTAAGAGAATGATTTACATATAACAGAGAAGAAGAATGAGAAGCAGTGTGTTGAATCTAGGAATTTTGATGGAAGGTAATGGGCTAGCCGCCACTCTCGCTAGGAATCATGCCAATATATAACGAATTATCCAAGTGAGGCGCAGTATATAGTATTCTAGTTGTTGTATGTTTGTCTAAAACTTAGTAGAATGAAATTGAATATAGATAAAGAAACTAATGGGAGAGAAAGCTCAGAAACCGATAATTTACTCCCCCCAAAATATCACAGCCAAATAACAGAGGCAAACTGTGATGTCATAACTAACCAGCGACTAATTCAGGATCACATATGAGTCAAGTTTTTATTTATAGTAGTGATATTGACAGTCCTTCATGTTAACTGTAGACGTGTGCCACAGTTTATTTTATCAGGAATATATAACATAGACATAACAATTTATCCGTCACTGATGAGGACTATTTGCGACTGTGTTTATGTTATTGTTATTGAGGGAGGGGGGGGGGGTAGAGAAGAGGGAGTTTCCAGGTGCTTGGGGACACCTGGTCCTAATTATCCCCTTCATCGTCCCAGTTCCACTGCCCATGAATAAACTTAAAGACTCTGTACAGGTAAAAGATTATAAATTTTCAGCTACATCCTCCGCCAGAGCGTTTTGTTTCCCCCAAGTGCATAAATTATCGTAATCAACATAGAATAGTTAATATCCCTTAAATTATCAGAATATAAACACAATAGATTAAATAGTAAGGAACTGTAGTGACGTTTCCTGTGTCTGTCCACCTACCAAGCAGTTGCCTTGTTACAAACTGACCTATAGGCCTCAGTTGCAAGCTTAAAATGAACAGACTACAGTAAGATAGAGCGTTAGTAAGAGGAGTACAAATGTTATATTATTATTACTTGTGGATTGTTGTGCAAAAAGTGTTGTAATTAAATTAATTTGATGGATAGTGTTGATTTACAGTGATGTCTCTATGATAGTCAGAAGTTGTCAAGATAAAGTACAACTTGAATATATGCCTTGCGTGGCTCACTAACCTCAAGGTAGGAATATTGACTCATGATCAAGTAATGGGAGTAAAGAGAGCGAGGTAATGATGCTTAACATGAAGATCACCGAGCAAAATAAATTCTATATTACCTGTTTACTCACTAGTTTCCTCTCGGTAAATTATTCAAGAAGGACGACTGAGGTTTGGACGTATTATAGATCATATTTAAATAAGTTCAGCTAATGACCTGCCAAGTAAATTCAATATCATGTTTATTTTAGGAAACATTAGATTTGAGTCATGAGTTATTCCTCGCGAGCAAAATAATCTTATTGGGTAAGTCTGGTCTAATTCAATTGCAGCATCATAAACATATAAATACTACCTGTTGTATATAATATCGCTAAGCCTGGACGGACCATCGTAAGGTAACTTAGTCAATTATAACAAACGTTGAAACTTTACAGGCAGTATGGTGATGGCGGGGTCGCTACCTGGTGCCTGGCTGACAGCGTTCGTGGCCTTCAGATTGGGACGACGTTGGTCCATGATAGTGAACGGGGTGGTGGCTGTCGTGGGCTGGCTGGGTGTGGCTCTCTTACCTACCATTGCGGGTATATTGGTATCCAGGTGAGTGTACATCCTGATATACTGTGTACGCTCAGAGCATATAGGGACACACACACACACACAGTTGGGTTAGATTAGGTTAAGTTAGGTTAGTTAAGTTAAGTTTGGAGCCCATATCACGAACGAGGCAATTTTACAAGCGGGGAGGGGGTAACATATACATTTAGAGCCTTGGTGTATTAGGTGTTTCAGATGTGTGTCACATGTGTCTGGTATTAACTCAACAGCCGCGAGCAAGTTCTTGAGTCCGGTGTATGTGCATTGTGAGCCAAGTGTATCGGCCAGGTATGACTAATGTCTGTTTGTAAGCCAGGTGTGTATTTCAGGTATATGACAGTGTGTGTGTGTGTGTGTGTGTGTCAGGTGTGGTTATATCAAAGAATAAAGATGCTTGTTTTGTACAGGTGTGTGTCAGGGATGGCACTGGGGGGATTGTCGGTGGTGATAAACGCCTACTCCGCCGAGTTAGCTGACGTCGACGTACGTGGTATGATGTCCGTGGCACTCAACATGGGCATCTTTTCAGGTAGGCACACACACACACACACACACACACACACACTAAACGGCCAAACATCTGCTTATATTTCCTTAATTACCTTCATATATCTTAAGAAGATTAAAAGATCGCTATTAAAATCATAGCTGTAACTTACAAAAATTCTGATGTCAATTAATATAAAATCATTTACAGCCTCGAGTGTAACAGCTATGGAATGTATTTGCATGTTAGGTTGTATGTTCACCTGAGGCCTCACAAAGACGGATGAACAATATGAAATGAGTGCATTCAGAGGGGAACAAATACTTAAAATTGATTAAAGCTTCGACGTAATTAGATGTAGTTCAAATTCATAAATACTGGAGACTCTTGTAGGGTCATGTTCACTGAATCAACTATAGAGACATAATTTATACCCCTGATGACTGTCGACGCTATAGTGGACTGTCCCCTCTCTCCCTGGATTGACCGGAGGCACGTTGCGACATAGGAGCAAGTTGTACTATGCCACAAACATACCCTATTAAAAGGTAATATCGAATCTGGGTAAACTAAGAAAAGGGAAAAGACGACTAAAAAATAACTAGACAGACGTAAATGAATGAAAAAAAAACAAAAAAACAAATCCCTGTTATATCACATTACATCACTCAGCCCACATAACCCCTTTTCCTTCCTCTGTGTTCGTTAGGTCAGCTGTTCACGGTGTGTATAGGGTATGGTGTCCGTTACTATGTGGTGGCTTTGGTCGACGCCCTCATCCCAGTAGCCTTCGTTCTCTGTCTCATCTGGCTCCCCGAAAGTCCCTCCATCCTCGTTCTTAAAGGTGAGTCTTAAGTATCTACACCCTCATCATACACAGTGTAGGCGATTCAACCTCACTAATATAAGGCCGGAGTCAATTTTTTTTTACAGGTAGTAGTATTTAGAGGTGATGAGTGATAGAGGCTCTTAGTACAATGTAGGAAGATTCACACAATAGCTAATTTAACAGGAAAAGAGGAGGAAGCCAAGAGAGTACTACTGGACCTGCGGGGGGAACACGCTGACCTTCAGGCCGAGATACAGAGCTACAAAGACATGAACACAGCCATGCAGAATGGACCCAGCTGGCGTGGTCTCCTCATTCCCCAAGTCCTCCGTTCTCTGGCCATCGTCTCTACCTTGTTCGTCCTTACTACATTCTCAGGTAGATTGTTCCACTGGCGGAGTATTATTGCTTTTGCACCGGTGACTGTATCTATCCCGCATTTTTTGTACCCAGATATGTAGACAACCCAGTACTGTACCGCCTGAAAACTACAGTTGTACCTTTTCTTGTAGGTTTCATGGTATTGAACGCCAATGCATCGCGCATGTTTGAGGCGGCCGGGTCGACGGTGGACGGCAGTCTCTCAGCCATCGTTATCATGATCGTCCAGGTGAGTTACTCTACCTAGGGGCGTGGGGCCTCTTTTGGTGTTGTGAGTCACCCTTACAGATGCTCGAGGGGGAGCAGGTTCCAGAAACACCACCAACAATAACAAAATAAATAAATAAATAATAAAATAAATAAAATACAGTACATTAATAAATTATGATGATGATGATAAGTGAAGGATCCGGTAACTATGATACAATTTACAGACTGTCTAAAATTGTCTTTATACGCTGTAGTTCAACACGGAAACAGCACCAAGCTAGAAATAATGGCACCATAACTAATGCTCACAGACATTTACTTGTCAGTTAACAACACCAAGGTTGATTTTGAATGACAGGACCCACAATTACAGCCAGGGGAAAAATTAATAATTGGAGAGAGACTTCTGCAACAATTAACGCAGTTGGCACTCATTATGAGGACACAAACACGTCCGTAATAATCAACAGTGCAGTAACTTCAACACGAAACGTCTGTCCCTAAATATTCATATCTTGATTTTCAGTTTGTTTATATTATTATTCATCAGTACACTTAGCTAAGATATTAATGTATCTTACTTTTGGTTATTCTGTTGACGAGCAAAGGAAAAAATCCTCCGGTGTCCCCCCTTCCTACACACACACGTAGAAGTTCTCTCTTAAAAACAAAAACAACCAATGCATGTTGAGTTATGAGGCCATGAAAATAACTCCTCTCTACCTTCCAGTTCGGAGCAGCCTTCGCCGGTTTTTTCCTTATGGACAAGATCGGCCGCAAGAACATCCTGTATGTGGGGTTCTTCCTCATGGGTATTGCCCTGGTCGCCTTGGCTATCTTCGTCAGCGTAACCCAGCAAGCCGAAATAAAGAGGTGAGCAAAGGGAAGGGAAATCAATAGTATATAGTAATTGGGAAGGAAGAAAGAATAACAGAAAGGGAGATAGAAATGATAAGTGATAGAAGAATGAGGACACACATAACACCATGGGTGGCTGGGAGGGAAGACAGTGGGATCATAGCAGTAACAGGAATAACAATAGACAACGATAACAGAGGAGTTGTTATAATGTTCGGAGAATGGGCGTGGGAGAGAGAACATTAGCCAAAGAACGAGTTATCTGTTGTTATATTTCCTCAGCTGCGGGTTATCACAGATACTGTACATCACCAAAGACTATAGAACTAAACTGGGGAGAGAAGGAAATGAAGATATGCAGTAATGTATATATATATATTTGTGTGTGTGGTGTGTGGTGTGGTGTGTGTGTTTGTGTGTGTGTATGGTGTGGTGTGTGTGTTTGTGTGTGTGTATGGTGTGGTGTGTGTGTTTGTGTGTGTGTATGGTGTGTGTGTGTGTGTTGTGTGTGTGTGTATGGTGTGGTGTGTGTGTTTGTGTGTGTGTATGTGTGTGTGTGTGTGTGTGTGTGTGTGTGTGTGTGGTGTGACATAAACCACTTGTATACCTCGTCTTATGAACAGTGTGGACGAGGAGTTGTTGGTGCTCAGCGAGGCGGCACCTGAACAGAGGCGTGGTGGATGGGTGCCTCTGGCCTGCCTGGTGGTGTCCCAGGCGGGGGTGGCTCTTGGAGTCAACCTCATGCCCTTCCTCCTGAGCCAGGAGTATTTCCCCACCTCCATACGTTCACAGGTAAATATACTTTCCTTAAAAGTTTTTGGTGTGATTTTTTTGAAAATTGAGTATGGCTTACTGGCCAAAAAAAAAAACACTTAAGGAGATCAATTATAAAACATCAAGTAAATTATTATCGTTAATATGAGACGATAAGAGCACAAAACGAAGTAGCTCATGCAATCACGTTCTTTTTTATGGAATGACAAGCGTGTGTAGAATTGTACTTGCACTATCATGTTAGTTGCTAGGGAAGCCTCATATTTTTTTTTCTTCAAACGTATAGGGATTATAATTTAGTAAATGTGGCAAAATTCTCCCCGTAATTCAAATATAAAGCAACAATAAATGAACGAATCATTAATGGTAACTCCTCCTGATGTACTTGCCAGGCCAGCAGCATCTGTTTCACGGTGTGGACCATCGCCAACTTCGCACTTCTGCAGCTCTACACACCCATGGCCGTGGGGCTCACTCAGCCTGGACTCTATGGATTTTACGCCTCCGTCTGTGTCTCAGGCATCATCTTCACGGTTTTCTTCATCAGGGAAACGATGGGCGAGAGAGTGGGCTGAGGCTGACCATCCATCTGGCTTCATATTATCTATTGTTATCACCACCTGCGTCTACCTGTCGTTACCCACCATTACCATAAATAACAAACACCTATATTTAAATTTCATATCAATGTTTAAATTACTACTTTAAAGCTTGAGCACATTTACACTGCATATATCATAAAAATGAAAATAAATCCTAGTTATAATATAATTAATGACTTCCTAACCTCAAGAAAATAATGAAGCAAGAAACTCAAATAGAGTGTCAGTCATAATTAGATCGTCAACAGTGATTACAGAAAACGTATTTGGTGTCATATTTAGAGAGAACTACACCATTTTCCTGAGCCACTAACCGTAACTAATAATACTATTATTTATTCAGTAAAATTGTGATACGGGTTTACAATTGGATAAGCATGTTTATATTTATGCCGTTATACAGTTCAGCATAAATATAGAAAATACAGGTGTGCGGTGGACGTAGGCCGTGGGAGTATACAATTTCCTGTGTGCCGAACCACTGCAGGTAAACAACAATGAAATGAAAAGGGATATAGATTAAAGTCTTAGAAAGCCAAATAATTTTTACAGAATAAGTTTGCTTGTTTCTGACCTTATGATTTTAAGTCATCCAATGAAGTAAATCCGCATGTTCAAATTAAGATGTCTATCACGAAACTCAAGTTACTCTAGCTGTGTCCTGTTGCTGTATCCTGTATGGCATGATCGGCTGACCCATGGCTGGAAGCAGGTTGACACCGTCCTCACTATCACAATACAGAGGTCTTGTCGGTGTCTCTAATGATGACCTAAGTTGACAAATGACAAGCAAGTAGGTTCACCCTGACCTCACCTACACGTCCAAAATTTTTAGTCTTTCTCTAAATATATTGGTACGGAAAAGGTATGAATAGGTACGGGAAAAAATATCATACTTTCATACCGTACCGTAATGGGGAAAATACGGTACTATAATCTCGTACCGTATGGGGAAAAATACCGTACCGTAATCTCATACCGGTACCATACTTATGAGAACAAAAATCCGTATCGTACCGTAATTTCGTACCGTACTGCTTTCTTGCTCGAGTATCAATGGTCTCACGCAGAATATTTTTATTCAACTAATTTGTGATATTCTGAGATTTAGTTCATATTTAACGTCACTTGAGGATATTGATGGTCTGGTTAATTAACCTTATGCTAAATATAGTAATTATCAAGGTGTACTGCGAGGCTTTATTCACGTTTTACCAGACAGGTGATGATAAGTCTAACTCAGTACTTTATGGTCTAACAATTGGAGTTCATAATTCTGTTAAATTCGGCCACAAATTGGGTTTAATTCCCTTAATTGCCTTATTAATTATTTTACGAAGTTTAATATAATTCGCCACGATAGTTTTAGTTCGTAAAAATAAAATACCTGTGGGGGTAATTTTTTTTCACACTGTGGTAAATCTATTTTAGCTAATAGAAGGAAGGAAAGAAGGAAGGAAGGAAAGAAGGAAGGAAGGAAGGAAAGAAGGAAGGAAGGAAGGAAAGAAGGAAGGAAGGAAAGAAGGACTCTGTGTTCACTCCTATAGGAAAGACAAGACAATAACAACCACCTGTAGTAAATATTGATATAAGGACCACCATGTAATACGACACAATAACATGGAGCTTTAATACAAAAATATTTAAAATGTTTGTATTATACATCAAATTGGTTTTATTCTCACACAATAACACGTGACATTAGAATATGTGTTTATTTTATCTCTATTAAAGAACCTCTGAGGTGAGAGAGAGAGAGAGAGAGAGAGAGAGAGAGAGAGAGGTATGTTGATGGCTATTCCCTTTATCATTAACCCCCGTCTCCTTTATCGTTAATCTCCTGGCTCCTTTATCTTTAATCTCCTGTCGTTTATCTGTCTATAGTAAATCAGACAAACAGGAAGGAACACACGTGGAAATATATGATGAATAAACCCATATATAGTGTGAGAAAACAATCCGTTCAGTAACCCAGTCCTATTGTCACTGTTGTATACAATATGTGCAATAATATTCAGGTCATATCGAGGGAAGAACAACATTGGGTATATTCCCCATAAAACACCCAACGTGTTTGAATATTATGTCTTGCTATTATCTGTGACACTGTTGGTTTTACGTTTTAACTCAATAATGTTAAAGAAACTATTCGTCACCAAATAATAATTATATTTAATGTTGATTATTTAGTTTATGTTCTTACTGCGCTTTAACAACTAAAAGCTTTAACCCTTTCACTAAGGTGACGCCAATTTTAAAATTTTGTTTCGTTAACGCCAGATGATTTTATTTAGCTCAGAGTGGAGCCAATACACAACAGGGTTACTAGAATATCCTTACTAAGCGCGTTGTAATAGCCTTATTTTAAACGTTAAACAAAATGTAATATAAACATTATTTTCACCATAAACAGATTTTTGTATAGGACTTATTTCATCATCCAATAACTGCAGCAAAAATCAGTCAGCTTAAAAAAATATATACTAGACTTTATATCGCGCCTGAATTAAATAAATATCCACGTTGCAGAGAATTAAATCTAAAACACAACAATAAACTAAGTCATACACAGGTACAGTAGTCGGTGTTTGGCCTCAAGGAAGGAGGGAGGTGACTTCAGCATCCGACTCATAACATTTAAAATCTATTACAGTTTCTTGGGGCAGTGTGTGATGCCTTCTCACCAAGTGGTATTTAACATAACGAATAAATCTTTTGTTGTAACGTTAATTTATACAGTTTAATATGCCAGAAATAATGTTTATTTCTGTATTATGAATCTAAAGAATAAAGCCTGGATATACATGAAGTGTAATATTAATGCAGTTCATGTAATCCTTCCAGCTCTACAACCTTTGCCTCCAGCCTCCGGAACTAAGGTACCTTTTTGCCCGTGAAAGTCAAACCCCGATACGAACTGTGAAAAGTTTTGTGAACGTTGAGAAGATAAACGACTCGCAACTTTTCTTACTATAATCCATCAATACACAATAGTTACCACTGAGCAGAAGCTGTTTAAAGAGGGGTAATTCCTATTTTTATGACAATTAGATAGATATCTCAAGTTGTTGGTTTATCTATTAGAGTGAACGTATTTAATTTTCCTGAGAAACATAAACAGAACAAATAAAAAATGTTTTTCAAGCTCTTCTGGGTGTAGTGTATAAGAGGTTGAAGTATCTGAATCAGTCAGATTTAAAAGTGAAGCAACTATGAGAGGTAGGTGTGAAAGTGAAACAACTAGGGAAGTCAGATCTTAAAGTGAAGCAACTACGGGGGTAGGTCTGAAAAGGAAGCAACTAGGGAAGTCAGATCTGAGAGTGGAGCAAAATATAAGGCAGAAAATTTCAGCAACTTTATGGAGTGTGTGTTTTTTTACATATTGACTGTAACACACACACACACACACACACAGATAAATATGGTCAAATTAATACGACCTTCGCTATCTTCCCATTACCAAACTCTACTTAATTTTACATTGCCAAACATTACTAATTAGGAATAGTAAGAATAACTGAGGTTAGGTACATTATTAATCCTATATAGATATGAGTTCGATTTTTTCACCAATCAGAAATACATTGAACCTGTTGCTGTGTCCCAAAACGAAAATTATATTGATGGTTACGTATAAATGGGAAAATGGCGCCATATAGGATCTCTTTCATCACATAACGATGATTCATTCTGGTCGTTGTTAGAAATTGCGTTAGTAAAATGAATCATGCGTTATCTGCCGCTATCAAAAGGCAATGAAATAAACAAGAGAGATATATTTGAATCAGGATCATCGTCACTGTATGAAAAATAAATAGAAAATGAATAAATTAGTGTATAATATATAAGTGACGGATACGTAGTAAAGGCACGTTCCTCCCAACCAAATATATCGCTTTTTTTTTGTTATCCACAGAAGATAAATTTCCCGCCTCCAGTATAAATCTTCCTGGCGTCCTGATTGTAAAAATATTGCCTCAGACCTTTCTCTTCATCCCATTCTCATCAGGACTCTCTCTATTGCCACACATAAATTCTATGACAACAATACTGTATATATATATATATATATATATATATATATATATATATATATATATATATATATATATATATATATATATATATATATAGAGAGAGAGAGAGAGAGAGAGAGAGAGAGAGTGTGTGTTAAAAAATATGTTGTACAAGAAGAAGCAGAATGAAGTATTTATTATTTGATATGCTTAAAAAAATGTATTTATGTGATACAATGATGCTGAAAGATATTTTTTTCCATGGCTTTAATAAACACTAACGTGTCTCCTTTCAGTATCAATTTGTAAGTGAACTGGACACTGTAACTCGGTAAAAACGTTTATCAAAATAGTTTGATGTGATATCAAAATATGTACAGTATAATGTTTGGTCAGGACAGGCTGTTGGGTGCGCCTTCCTACTCCAGCAATGGGCCTCAATAAACACCCATTTCTCCCTACCTGAGTACATAGAACTCTCAACATATTTTATTAGGATTATGTTTAAACTTTCTCTTCTTAGTTAAAATATTGTAAATGAGATTGCGCTAAAATTGCTATACCTTCCTATAATATAAACCGAGATAAAAAATAATAGTGTAATATTGTAGTAAATATGAAAAATGAAAGTGGGTCCTGGAGGCCTGATGGTAGAGTGGTTATAACACACTATAGACTCAGCCTTTTTCGGTACACGAGGAGACATCGCAGCCGGCACTTTCCCATCTTTAAAATTAGGAATTCATTCATAGCTGGGTTACGATCTGATGCATTTTGGAGCCAAACGTGAAAACATTAAGCGATATGTCGCTTAATTTTGAAAGTCCCGTTAGTTTTGGTTGTCACCCAGTTCACGGTTTAGCCGCCAGGGGGCAATGCATTAAAATATTTTCGTGTAATAACTACACTGCCGTTCATCGGATTTCGCTGATGGGCATTGACATACCCGGTATCCCTTTGTTGTTGCCTATAACATCATGTTGTTATTATTATTATTATTATTATTATTATTATTATTATTATTATTATTATTATTATTATTATTATTATTATTATAATTATAATTATTATTATTATTATTATTATTATTATTATTATTATTATTATTATTATTATTAGTAGTAGTAGTAGTAGTAGTAGTAGTAGTAGTAGG